AAATTTATAAACTAAACATGATAGAACAAAAAAACATGTTTTCCGGTATTAGATGGATAACCAATATAAAACATTAAACGAACAAAAACAAACAGAAAAAAAAGCTGTTAACTTGCCTTGGGTTCGTAAGAATATAATTTTTCCTTTTTCTACCGTAATTCGACGAACAAGTAAGAGATAATCATTTTTTTTTATTGTGTGGGAAACTACGTTCTTGGTTTCTCATTAGAAAAGTGGTAAGACTTCATGAAAAATCCTCGACGTTCTCTCATTATTTTCGACATTCGGTATAACATGGATTTTCACTGCATTCATCAACTCCTCCATGGTGGTGCTCGGGATATTTGGCGCAATCGTGGTTGGAATCATCTGATACATAGACAAAAAGATCGAGGTAAGACTTCATGAAGAATCCTCGACGTTCTCTCATTATCCTCGACATTCGGTATAACATGGATTTTCACTGCATTCATCAACTCCTCCATGGTGGTGCTCGGGATATTTGGCGCAATCGTTGCTGGAATCATCTCATACATAGACAAAAAGATCTAGAGGTACAATTAACTATTTTAATTTTCAAAATTGTTTATGTGATACCGAAGCCGGCGTGAACATCATAACCAAAGCCATTGCAAACAAGTTAGGAATTGCGGATACCGATAAGCAATTAGCATGAGCCAATAGTGGATATTTTCATGATAAGAATCGTCATGGATCATTATCAATATGTGTTGTACCTTCTATTTTGGTTTTGTTATACGTTTTTTAAAATTTCTACAAAATTCATGATTTATAATTTTTTTTCTGTACAAAATTCACAGATCTAAAAAAAAAAAAAAAACACATGATAGATTTATAGCCAAATATTGTTATTATTCTACTAATTTTATTTTCTAAATAAAACCGTGGAAGGTATGGCAGGCCCACAATATATAAGCCCATACAGAATGAGTCCAAGGAGAGAACTCAACGTGGAACAGGCAGATTCCGTCATGTGCGTGGGCAACAAGGTCTCAATAATAATTGGAAAGTCAAAAGTCAAAACGGACAATTATTAATTTATTTTATTGTAGCAGTCTTTAGAAACAGATAAACTGTACGCGAATCGATTTTTTTCCGGCGAAATCTATCAGTACCGAATCATGGGAGTCACCGGAAGTTTAACTCCAGATCAGCTCCAGTTTTTCCACTCTCAAGGTTCGTATGGAAATTTCCTCCTAAACTCTCGAATTCTCGAAGAAATTAATCAAATGATAGTAATGGATTAGGGTATTTGGTAATCGAATCTTTCGCGAGTGAGGATGAGATTAGAAGCTTGAGGAAGAGGATGGATGAGTTGCTCAATCAATTTGATTGTTCCGTCTCTTCGATTTTCTCCACTAAAAATCAGGTTAATTACTTTATTTAATCAAGTTTTGATTCAAATTCATCA